AGTATGTCTATGTACTTTTGCTAACCAAACCCTTCTTTTTTTAGATGAGAAACCTATTACTTATGATCATTTATACATCTTTATTAGGGCTTTTCTACTGGGCTTCCTGAGAGATTGCAATTGTCCCTTGTGCGAACTATACCAGGGCTGGAGAACTGTCTAATACTAAGGCCTGCATATGCAGTTGAATATGATTACTTACCTGCATATCAATGCTCAAGATCACTTATGACAAAGAAGTTTGAGGGTTTATTCTTCTCTGGCCAGATAAATGGAACAACGGGATATGAAGAAGCTGCAGCTCAGGTTTATTCATTGTTCTTGCTCTGTTCTTCATGAGTTAATTGCAGTTCGTATGGTTGGTTGAACTAGATTTGCTGGATCCTAATCTTGCTGATTGCTATATATAGGGTATAATTTCTGGAATCAATGCAGCTAGGCATTCTAATGGGAAATCATTAATTATTCTTGAGAGAGAAAGCAGTTATATAGGAACTCTTATTGATGATCTTGTTACAAAAGATCTTAGAGAGCCCTATCGCATGCTAACAAGGTATGGAATTTCAGTATAAAACATTTTTATTATTCATGCTTAAATAACTGACGCTGAAAAATAGTTTTACTCCTGCAGTATATAGTAAGCCTGAGCAGTGTTATGTAACATTTGTGTTCTTTAGTTAATAATTGAGTTTATCTTTTAAGAGGAAGTATTAGGTGCATAACTGGACAAGAGTATATTGGTGCACATATGCATAAACTCAATCTCATCCCTCATCCAGTATGAACAGTCCAAGTGAGAGGTGGGAATTCCCTCATCCTCTTGTCCACCTTTTAACTGGATTAGATCCAGTTAGGCCTAAATGAGCCCAAGAGGGGATGAGAGAACTCCCACCTCAGCTTTGAGCCACTTGGATCCAAGGAATGGGATAACGTTTGTGATTGTGAATTCCTGTAGGCTACAGATATACACATGGTTTTATTTTGGTAACACAAAATTACATGCTGAGTTCTTTGAATTTTATGCTGTCTAATTCAATATGGCTTCTGTGTTCATAAATTTCTTAACCTTTTCCCCTTTTTTCTTTGTTTTTGCTGGGGCATTTTCCAGCCGTTCAGAACACCGGCTATTACTTCGAGCAGATAATGCTGATAGTCGTTTAACCCCTTTGGGACGAGAGATTGGTTTAATAGATGATAGACGCTGGGAGCTTTATCAGTCAAAGCAAGCCCGCATCAAGCAAGAAAAAGAACGGTTGAAATCTACAAAAGTTCCAGGTGAGCATCATATATTTTCTTAGCTAATGAATAATGACATACTTTTGACATACTGCACCATTCATATTGTTAGATGTCCTAGAATGCATGCATTCAAACTTTTTGACTGCAAATTTACATAAAAATATTTACTTTATCATGAAATTACATAAGTAGATATGTAATCACATTTAAGAGTTTTGGTAACATAATTAGAAAGATAAATGGTCATATGAATTTATTGAAGAAAGTTGATGTCTTAATTGAAAGGTTGACTGCACATGTACTAGAGAATCATGTGTTTTGACTGTAGTTAGTATATAAAATGCTGTTAGCATGGTTCACACGCTCTAGCTCCAATGTTCTGTTATCAGGAGGTGAATTTGCTGCTGAAGTTACTGCAGTATCCAACCAACCTGTAAAGGATTCATCTACACTTGAAGCCATACTAAAGAAGCCACATGTACAATATAAACTCCTTGATAAGCATGGATGTGGAAACGAAAATTTATCTCGAATTGAGAAGGAATGTGTAGAGATTGATATCAAGTATGAAGGTTTCATCAAGACGACAACAGAGTCAATTACATCAGGTAATTGCTTATGGTTATCTTGATTTTGTTCTGGAGTAGATTTGTGAGGGAAGTAGAACTGCTACAACAATGGTACATAATCATTCAAGATGTCCAACAGTAATGCATTATGCATGAGTTCATTGTTTTGTTTATTTAATTGAAAAGGAAGCTAACTCTTTGTTGTTTGTTTTTCTCTCTGTTAAGATTGTAAACCAAGAACACAGGAAACTTCCTGAAGATTTGGATTACCACTCAATGACAAATCTATCACTTGAAGCTCGGGAGAAACTTCCCAAGGTAAGTTCGGGATATGTAAAAGGAACCTTATGAAAGATAACCTGCAACTAAATAAAAAGCGTTCAGCAGTTCTCCATTTGTTAAGTGCAGTTGTCCATTTCAACTACTAGGCCACATCTTTTCTGAAACTTGGTATCATGTGCAAGAACAAGGTCAAAGTAGACCATATAGACAGTACTGCAGTTACATCTTATTCCATTGTAATAATGTAGATTGGGAGCCAATTTTGTGGTCTCATCTTATCTTAATTGTACCCTGTGATTCATCCGTAGGTGCGTCCACAAACAATAGGTCAAGCTAGCAGAATTGGCGGTGTGAGCCCAGCAGACATGACAGTTCTCCTCATTTGGATGGAGAGCAACCGACGCATGGCTAACCACAGGAGAAAGCAAGAGCAGCTGAGATCAGCTGCAGTCGAGGCGGATGGTTCTTCAGAGGAGGTTGTCCATGCCAGCACTGCATAAACGGGGGAGCTTCTGGCCGATTCATTCAACTGAACCAGGAAAAACAAATTCAGTGAGGCATCCAGGGATTCTGCGCGTTTTTGGTAGAGCGATGCAGGAGGCGCAAATGCATGTATGCCTTAAGAGTTTTCAATACTATACAATGAGAGAGCAGATTGTAAAGAATGGCAACAACCGCAATGGAGAGCTCTCTTTGTTCATCTGTGTAACATGGCTTCTAAAAATACTCCTACATGGAACTGAGAGATGATGTCTGCATATATCTAGCTGTATCATCTGAATGTACGTGGTAAAGAAGAGAACACAAGGAAGTACATCTGGGGCCTCTGCTCCTTCGCCACCCTAAGGCCTGGTTTAGTTGGTGAATTTTTTTGGGAAATGGTAATGTAGTATTTTTGTTATTATTTGGCAATTAATGTTCAATTATAGTCTAATTAGGCTTAAAAGATTCGTCTCGTGAATTTTGTCTAAACTGTGTAATTAGTTTTATTTTTTATTTATATTTAATGTTTAATGCATGTGTCTAAAGATTCGATGTGATGGAAAATCTTGAAAAATTTTGGGAACTAAACATGCACTAATACTGGGAGGAAATAAACGCTGACCAAAGATTGAGAAGCATGTTAACATGCACTAATACTGGGAGGAAATAAACGCTGACCAAAGATTGAGAAGCATGTTAAAGGAGGCAAATTTTGTTTATACTTTCTGAGACATTACTTGCTGATCTATTGATGGATGTTCTTATCTTATTCGTTCGTGTCTTTTTTTGTTGTTCTGAATAGGGTTAAGTTCAATGGAGAGTTCCTAGCCTAGTGTGATTTTTTTTTTTATTTTTAACACTTTTTTAAACTAATTTTAAATCTAACTGTTTAATTTTTTTTTCTAAAACTAACACTTTTAGCCATGCCTATTTTTCATGGCGTGCGAACGATTGCACCGCGCGCCATGCATAGCGGTGAGAGGGATGATGTGGCGCTGACCGGTGACGTGGCAAGAGCTGTTGCACCGCGGATCTGGGTGCGACACTGTCGCGCCACAGCGCATGGCGCGGCAAGCCACGGGAGGTGCAACAGCAGGGCACTACTGTGCCTGTGCTTACTGTAGCAGCCGATGGAGACGCAATAGGGCACTACCACACATCTGTAACCGATGGAGACGCAATTGCAAGTGCATTATGTGCATGTTGCTTCGAGCGTGCAACCATGCGCTTCCACGCTGGTGGAGTGCTTGCAGTGGAGTGCATGCAAGTTGCCTGCTGCTTTGCAGGTGAAGGGACATGCTGCCCTATTAAATCATCTAGCCTCTAGCTATGCATTGTATGTATATTTATTCTTTTAACAGGAGCAGATTACGTGTTATTGTATCATATTTTACTACTTCTGTTTGGATGTAAGTTCTGTATTCAACTGATGTAAATTGATTATTCGTAAATAAGAATAGTCAGCAAACTATTATCTGATCTTTTTTTGGCCTTTTCTGATTTTCTGTATGTTTTATTTGGTTCCCCTTTGAAATTTTCCAATTTGGTTTCCATGCAAATAATTTGGCTATTTTTTAGTTTTTTATTTATTTTTTGTATGTTTTATTTGGTTCTCGTTTCATATTTTCCAATTTGACTTACATAAAAATAATCTAGTTATTTATTTGTGTTGTTTGGCTAGTTTTTTTTTGTTTATTTAATCAAGCGTTGTATGGATCAGAATCACTCGATTTTTTATCTGTCGCCGATGTTGGGGGCGCCGTCAACGTTAGAGTGTCACGGCTCCTAAAATCACTCGTCCCATGAGTAGAGAATTTTTAACTGTCAGTAAACAAAGCGTAAAACTAAGCAACCGAGTGACAGTAGCTCCAGAAAAAACAACTCTTCCAGCGAGCAAGCACGGACTGACAGGCACCACGCGATGAGAGAGAGAGAGAGAGAGGGGGAGAGGGAGAGAGATGGAAGGGTGGGGGCGGGCCTGTGCCTGTGCCTGTCAGCCAACAGGTGAACAGAGCAGCAGGCCCAAAGTCCCAAGCGAGCAATCAGCCTTGTTTAAATTGAGGTTTAGAATCAGAATTTAACACCGCAGCATTTTTGTTTGTATTTAATAATTATTATTTAATTATGGTTTAACTAGGTTTAAAAATAATTTATAATAAAATTGTATAATTAGTTATTTTTTTATTTACGTTTAATACTCTATATATGTATCTAACGATTTGACGTGACGGAGAGAGTGAAAAAACTGGAATCTAAACAAGGCCCTGTTGTTGTTTTCCGGTCAGGTCACGGTCACGTGTCTCCAGTCACCACCCACCTCCCACAGTCCCACTGGACTCTGACTCCCCGAAGCAGCAGCGGCGAAGCCTATCTTTTCCCCCTCCCGCCGTACTTTCGTTCCAGATTGCAAAGCGCTCGCGCGCAGCCATGGCCGGCGCCGGTGCACCCGCAGCTCCCCAGGCCGCTCGCCCCGGCTTCGACGTCATCGTGGTGGGCGCGGGCATCATGGGCAGCTGCACGGCGCACGCGGCGGCGTCCCGGGGCTCCCGCGTCCTGCTGCTGGAGCGCTTCGACCTGCTCCACCCGCTGGGCTCCTCGCACGGCGACTCCCGCATCATCCGCGACGCCTACGCGCAGCCGCGCTACCTCCGCATGGTGCGCCTGGCCCGCCGCCTCTGGGCAGCCGCCGAGGCCGAGGCCGGCTACCGCGTCCTCACCCCGACGCCGCACCTCTCCATGGGCCCGCGCGCCAGCGCGGCCCTCGCCGCTGCCGTCGCCAACATCGGCGCCGAGGAGGTTGTGGCCGACGACCTCGGCAGCAGGTGGGGCGGTGCCTTCGCCTTCACCGTCCCGGACCCGTCCGACGGGTGGGTCACCGCGCTCAGCGACCACGGCGGCGTGCTTAGCGCCACCAAGGCCGTGGCCATGTTCCAGTCGCTCGCCGTCGCGAAAGGCGCCGTGGTCAGGGACAACACCGAGGTCGTCGGCATCGACAAGGCGCCCGAGGGCGGCGTCGTGGTGAGGGCCAGCGGCGGCGAGGCGTACCACGGCGCCAAGTGCGTCGTCACGGTGGGCGCGTGGGCGGCCAAGCTACTAGGCTCCGTCTCCGGCGTGGACCTCCCCATCACGCCGCTGCACACGCTGCACCTGTACTGGCGCGTGAAGCCCGGCCAGGAGCAGAGCCTCTCGGCGAGCGCCGGGTTCCCGACGTTCTCCAGCTACGGCGACCCGCCCGTGTACGGCACGCCGTCGCTGGAGGTCCCGGGGCTCATCAAGATCAGCTGCGACGGCGGCCCGCCGTGCGACCCGGACTCCCGCGACTGGCTCGCCGGCGACGCGGAGGTCACGGACCGGGTGGCCAGGTGGATCCAGGAGGCCATGCCGGGCCACGTGGACGCCGCGGGCGGGCCGGTCGTCCGGCAGTCGTGCATGTGCGCCATGACGCCCGACTCCGACTTCGTCATGGACTTCCTCGGCGGGGAGCTCGGGCGGGACGTCGTGGTCGGGGTTGGGTTCTCGGGGCATGGATTCAAGATGGGCCCCGCTGTGGGGAGGATCCTGGCGGAGATGGCCATTGATGGTGACTCCAAGATGGCGGCAGAGGCTGGCGTCGACCTCGGCTTCTTCCGGATCGGCCGCTTCGATGGCAACCCCATGGGAAATGCCAAGAAGGATTAATACTGTAGGAGTGCGTATCTACGGAATTCTTCTCGACGGTAGATGCATTGGAATTGAAATAAAATAAAATGGATGGGAATGTGGACAAGTTTTTGTCCCATGTAATGTTGAACTAGCATTGAATGGAACTTCGTAGTAATGTTAAGGCCAAATTTTACTTTACCATTGACCATTGGTGAAACTGATACAGCGTTGCTATCTTGCTGTGACGAACAAAACAGTCCAAGTTGCTGTTACAACTCCTTTAAAAAAAATACAACCGTATTACGAGGCAAGTATTACTCCTGTTTCGTATTACTCATGTTCACGTATTCCATGAACTGTCAGGTGCGGTTGCCACTACAACTGTCTGGGCTCCTAGTCAGCAGTAGTGGCTGAAGAATAGGCTGAGGTCCGGATCCGGAAATTTATCCAATGTCATGCATATATCTCATCTGGCATGTTCGGCCGGTATGTATTAAAGCCGGCTGATAAGCCGATCTTGGCTGATTTATTGTGAGAGAAAAATACTGTAGATTCTAGCTGATAAGCCGGCTGATAAGTTTAAGCGAACATGCCTAAAGGGGAAAAAACAGCTCATCTGCTCCCTGGATATATCTTCACCCACACGGCTTCACGGGTTCTCTTGCAGAAAAAAACAAACACAGATAACAATTTATGCATACCAAACCTAGAATTGAATTGGATTCCGTTTGGACGTAGATATTGGAGATTCTGAAATTGAATTGGTACCATTACCAGATCAGGCTAGTATTGGAAATGGACTAAATACCAAATATGTTGTTTGGATGTAGATGAATTTGCTAGCCGAAATCGAGTGACACATCAAATATCATTTCATGTTTTGATGTACACCTCCAGAAATTCACTGTCTTCTTCCCCAATCCCCACTGCTCGCACGACGGCCTCGAGCGCAGAGGTGGAGGCGGCCTTGGCCCCAGCCATGGGCACGCGCAGGTGGAGGCGGAGGTGGCCCCGGCCCCGGCCTCGGCTTCGAGCGCGTAGGGGGAGGCGGAGGCGGCCCCGGCCCCAGCCCCAGCCCCGGCTGCGACGAGCTTGGGCGAGAAGGCGGCCCCGACCTCGGTTGTGACGAGCTCGGGCGCGGAGGCGGAGGTGGCCACGGCCCTGGGCCTGGCCCCGGCGGGTGTGGTGGTGTGCCGCGCCACTGGACGTGGGTCCACCGGCCATGGGGAACAGAAACGGAGCTCGTGCCGCCGGCCATGGGGAAGGGGAGGTGCACCGCCGGCCATGGGGAAGAAGAAGGGGATGTGCGCCGCCGGCCATGGATGGAGAGTAGTAGCGGGCTGCCCGAGTTGGAGGAATTAATTCCAGCCAATACAGAGGGAGAGAGCTTCGTATTGGAGACGAGGGAGCACATGCTTCGTGAATACTGGTTGGCATTGAGGATGAATACCAATTCCCAATTCCAAACCATCCAAACAGCTGTATTCGGAGATAGCCAATACCAATTCCAATTCTGAGGCCTGAATATCTACATCCAAACGGGGTGTTAGAGATTTACCAATCCTGAATTTTTATTGCTTATTATACAACTGCTCAAAATTAGAGGAAGGGATTAATAACAATTTCAAATCCATTCAAATAAATACACCATACAAATATTTTAAATGGAAAAATTACTAAAAATTATTTCAATATTAAAGATTTTGACGTATTTTTTCCTATATATAAACTGGAGGGCCCTATCTTACAAAAGGCCCAGACGGTGTTATTTTACATGGGCCGCGCAACCCAACTTAAAAGGCCGACAACCCCCATTTTTCCTGAAGTACCTTGTAACAGAAACAGAATGCTCGTTCCGGGCGGCCCCACCATCCCAATTCCCTCCTCGGCAGTTCCCACTTCCCAGTTCCCACCACCACCCGATCGCCGCGATGCAGCCGGAGCCGCCAACGCCGTCCGACGGCACGACGGCGCTCCGACCGCGCGCCTACGTCACGGAGGGCCTCCCTCGCCACGACGCCGTGTTGTACTGCCCGTCGTGCTGGGCCTACCTCCAGCCCCCGGGGTCCTGGATCCGCCGCGAGCCGCGGTCCTGGATCAGCGCCACGCCGGGGATGGCTGGAGAGGTAGCGAGCATCCACCTAGGCCGCGTGCGCCGCCACATCGCCGGCCTCGGCCTCACGATCGCCGCCGCGAGGTTCGTCTCCACCGACCCCTGCCCCAGGCGCTTCGACCTCCGCATCCACCTCCGCCACGAGCACGAGGCGCTCAAGACGGATCCGCAGCCGCAGGCGCAGGTCGTCGAGCTCACCGCCCACGACCGCCTCTGCGACGCCTGCGTCCGGGTCCAGGCCGACCCGGACCAGTGGCCCGCCGTCGTGCAGGTGCGCCAGCGCGCGTGGCCGTCGTCGTGCTGCCGCAGCCGCACGCTGAACCACGTCAAGTCGCTGCTCGTCTTGTACTGCGGCAAGGACTCGTTCCTCCGCGTGGACTGGGACGCGGACGCCGGGGTCCTCGACGTGCACGTCGTGTCGCGCGCCCACGCCGACCGTTTCGTCCGCTTCGTCTCGGCCGTCGCGCCCGCCCGCGCCGCCGGCACGGCGCGGCGACAGCTCGTCTCGCGCGACGACGAGGGCAGCCCCTACGACCTCGTCCTCCTGCCCGCTGAGGCGTCCCGCGCCCTCGGCGGCCTGGGGCCTCTCGTCCTCTGCATCAAGGTCACCAACTCGCTGGCGCTGCTCGACACCGGCAACATGCGCGTCGTCGTGGTAGGCGTGCGAGCGGTTCAGGCTCGAGCCCCTGCTCGGCCGCGGCCGCCTCGTCGAGTACGTCGTGCTCGGCGTGCAGCACGACCCGTCCGGCCACGTCACGGCGCTCGGCACGAGCTTCATGATGTCGTGGGCGCAGGTCGCCCGCGCGTCGGACGTGGGCAAGAAGGACGCCGCCGTCTTCACCGTGAAGACGCACCTCGGCTACGATCTGGAGCCCGGGTGCCACGCGCTCGGCTACGACCTCTGCGGCGGCAACGCCTACAGCCATGGCTTGGAGAAGTATGGGCAGAGCCACAAGTTGCCAGCTGCGGTGCTTACTACGAGGTACTACGACGTCGAGGTCGAGGACGAGGACTGGGAGGAGAGCGCAGGCGAGATTCAGGACGGCAGGGAGGGAGGCTGCGGCGGCGAGATTGAAGAGGTTGCCACGGCCATTGGATGCATGGACCTGAATCTTGTCGACGACGAGGACGCCACCATGGCACCATTTGATCGGCTCTGAGTAGCGGGCTGTGACGTCACCTCGTGCTTGCTACTTGCTAGCATCTTTCCAATGGTTCTGCCTGGCTGTGCTTATGATCTTGGGTTTTCAAGTAATTCTCGGTTACAATAGTTCAGTACTTCAATGTATGCTAGCTCTGACTTTACATGTTAGTTCAGTACTTCAGTGTATGTGTATCCTGCTCTCATTTTACCTGTTATTATCTGATCTGCGTGTCTTTTGAATGCTTGTTCAATTCAGAAATGCTGTAAGCATCTTTCTCATATACATATTAAATTTTAATTCTTCCATTTTTCCCCCTCCACACGTTCTGTACTTTAGATATCTGAACAACAAATTCTGGATTCGTTGATAGTTCAATGAGTACAGAGCGCATATTTTTACTTTAAGTGTGCATTTTTTTTTCTCTCGAATGCACGGGAGAACTACACATCATTTTAGATTAAGAAGGAAAAGGTCTAAATGACCTGTACAACTCTATAGGGGCAAAGAAGTTAAAAAAAAAAAGATTCACCAACGAACCTTAACCACTTATGTCAGTTGTGACCTTGCACTTGCTTGCAAGCATTCGGCTATGCCTTTGGGAACCATCGGTAATTTTGATGTTTGAATAATTCCTAGAAAATTTTAATAGTTTAACGCATACATAGCAATATGCTTTCTCTCATTGCATATAGTTTTGTAGTTTCCGTATTTAAGTGGATTTTGAATTATCTCACTCACAAGCAAAACAGAAGAAGAGCGTCGGGGACCAATAGTAGGGTACCCGAAGAGAAGGAGCTAATGACCATCAACGTTGATTCATCCGCACGATCAAGAGCGCGACTACACCGCTCGCCGGGTCACTCCTCGTCCGTTGACCGAGACCATGAGCTGGCTCCTCTTCGCCCGACGTCTGAGGGCAGACTCCATCTTGCCTAACCCCCGAGGGCCGGTTCCGCCTCGCCCAACGTCTGAGAACAGACTCCGTCTCGCCCGACCCCCGAGGGCCGGTTTCGCCTCGCCCGACGTCTGAGGGCAGACTTCGTCTCGCCCGACATTCGGAAGCTGGCTCCGCCTCGTCCGACGTCTGAGGGCAGACTCCGTCTTGCCCGACCCCCGAGGGCTGGTTCCGCCTCGCCCGACGTATGAGGGCAGACTCTGCCTCGCCCGACGTTCGGAGGCTGGCTCCGCCTCGCCCGATGTCCGGGGGCTGGCTCCGCCTCGCCCGACATCCGGAGGGTGGCTCCATCTCGCCCGACGTCCGGGGGCTGGCTTCGCCTCGCCCAACGTCCGGGGGGTGACTCCGCCTCACCCGACGTTCGGGGGGTGACTCCGCCTCGCCCGACGTCCAGGGGCTGGCTCCGCCTCGCCTGACGTCTGCGCACTGCTCCTTCATAACTACGCGCGCGGATAAGGCAGGGCACTCAAGTCAACCGCAATACCGAGGACCATACCCTGGACGCCTACAGGAAAGTACCGTCAGGATATGATAGGACGTGCGCTTTAAGCCCTTCCAGGCATGTCAGAGCCCAAACAGTATTGTATGCGCCGACATTTGTCTTATAGTGTTGTGGGCGCCGCCATTTGCTCTCGGGCGCGTATCCTGACGGAAGCATACGACAACCGCTACGGTCCAGGTTGAAACTCGCATTATCTACAGTAACGGACATGCGGTCACTGTGTCGTCTGCTCCCCGTAGGGTCGCGGTTCAGCACCCTGGTTCATCGCGCCGCCCGCGGGGGCGGGATGGGACATGACCACTTGCTGACAAAGCCTAAACATGGCATCATCAGCGGCTTGCACCCAGCATGGAGCTAGCCCTAGCACCGTCTGCCGTGTCAGCGGGGCTCGCTCAGAGAAAAAAGAAGACCCATCATCTTTGAATGACCTCCCTGGCCTTTGGTTTTTTCTTCTTTCTTCTATTTGTAATCCTTGCTTCCCCTTGGTCTATAAAAGAAAAGGCAGGGAACCCCATTAAGGGGAGATCGATTGAACACACCACGCATCATATCACACAGAGCCGAGCAGCAACCAAGCTCTCAGCACCCATTCGACCTTTCCATCAGAGACTTAGGATCTTTCCCTCTCTCGCCTGTTTGTAACCCCTACTACGAACTTTTTGGTGCTAATAACACGAGCAGCAGCCACGAACTGGACGTAGGGACATTCTGCCGGAACCAGTATAAGCCTTGTGTCTTTTTAGCACACCATCCGGGTCAGACGCACAATAATACAAATTTACTCGTTAGTGTTTACTTGAAACACCGACAGTAGGCGCGCTAGGTAGGGGACCTTTGCGCGTCCTGATATTAACATCAGGCCACAGATGGCTAGCCACAGAATCTGTAACACCTCGGTGTTAAGCATGCACTAACATTCCATCCCATGAACATAATCATCATCACCTCATGCATAAGCATCATTCACACATTCCATTTCGAAAGAAATGAAGTATCATTTCATGTGATGCTTAAGTTGATTGAAAATTTATTCATGTTTCAAATGATATGAAAAGCCATGCTCATGTTTGGATGCCATGGTTCTTGTTTTGATCACTAAGATAGCTTATAAATGTTTAGGATACAAATTGGAGCCAAGTTCATATTCAAAGTTTTGCCAAATTTTGCTTTTAAACAATTGTTCAAAATTAGGGTTTTGAATTACTATTGATGTTTATTTTGTAATTCAAAATCTATTTGGAATTGGACTGTGGTCATAAAAGCAAAGTTGTAGATCTTGAAAAATGGAACAACTTTTATTTTTACACCAACTTTTAAAACTGCTTTGAAATTGCTCAAAATTTGCATTGAAGGAAATGGGGATAGAAAATAAATTAAAAAATCACATTTCACTTCAATGGGCCGCAGCCTCGCTTTCGGCCCAGCCGCTCACGCCGGCCCGGCCTGCCTTAGCGCTGCGCCGCGCCCGACCGTGTCAGGGCTCGCTCGTCGCGTGGCCGCCATGCGCCGGCGACGCACGCCGCGCGGCAGCCCCGGCCTGCCCTGCGCCCTCCTGTCGCGCCTTCACCTTCCCGGCCGCGCTGCGCTCCTTCTCATTCCCCACTCCACTCTCTCGCTCGCTCAGCAGCAGCAACAGCCGCAGCAGCGCTCGCTCCGCCGCGCACCATCGCCGGCATAGCCGTTCCGGCCACGCCTGACCACCAGAGCCCGCTACATCTTCGCTACGCCTTCGCCCCGGTCTCGCGCAGCTCGTGCTCATCACAGTTCGGCGTGGTAAGGCCCGAGCCGGTCGCTATTGCTCGCCGAAGCACGGCCGAGCTCATCGGTGAGCTCCGCTCCCGTGGACTTCCCCGCTCCGCTTCCTTGGCCGCCTTTCTTTCTCGCGCACGAGCACCGCACTGCACCGTTGAGTCTCCCGAGCACCTCCTCTCGCCCGACCATGGACGAAGACGCTCCACCGGCGACGACCCGCGCCGCCGCTCCGCCATGCACGGCAGCGGTCGGCTTCCCGTGCTCTTTGGCCCATGCCACGAGCACCGCGGGGTTCGCGCGGGTGTGGGGAGCACGCCGGTCACCGTCGGCGAGCTCTCGCCGCCGGTGATCTCCTCTGTTTTGGTTCGGCTGACAGGTGGGGTCCCACTGAACCCTGGGCCCATTTGTCTGTCCCTGTGTGTGCACACGCGTGTTCAGATCCGGGTGCACCCAGCATTTTTGTCGGCTGGTTTTAAAAAGGATTTAAGAAATGCTTTTTCAGAATTCTGTTAAATGCTTTGGAAATTTATAACTTGCTCAAATTTGCTCCAAATTTGTTGAAACAAATTTTGTTGTGTTCCTTGTCACCAGATCTACATGATAAAAATATTGCATGTCATTTTTGAGATACTTTTCTGTAGAGCTTTATTTAATCCTTGATATTGCTGATATCTTGTAAAATGTGTAGTAAAACCTATATGTATCAGAAAAATATGCTTCCAAGTTTGTTACTCTTCTTGTGTAATGTACTTCCTAGGAAAAACATATGCCATGCATGTCCTGTAGAAAAATTGTGAAAAGTAGTTCAAGTGCCTTTAATGGCTGATTTTTGTTATTTTTGCTAGAGAGCAAAATTTGTATAAAATATGCATGTGATAATTTTTGTACAGTGATTATTTGCTGTGTAGAACATAGGAAAAGTATTACATCTGTGGATTTACACTTTTCATAATACAAAGTATTTTCATGCTCATAATTAGGTCCAAGTGTCATTTTTGTGTAGGCTATTCCACTTATCCAAATGCCATAAAAATCTAATGGTAGACTACTTAGGATAGTACTGTGTTATGGTAATTTTCTAAGATTTTTTTAAGCTATAAAAATAGATGTTGCTATTCAAACCTATTATTAATTAGGGTTTAATCAAATGTTGCTTTATGCATGATTAAGGAATTAGTGAAGCTTTGGTGTATCTTTGAAGCATTTAATGAGATGTGTTGACTTAGCATATTAGTAGTAGAAGAGAATGCGGTAGATGACATGTGCTTGTAGTACATGTTCTTGGATGATGTTGACTACCTTGCATTCAAGCATATCCATTGTGCTCATTTCATCCGATGCACCTTTTGCATAAGCACTTACGCACATGCATCATACAGGATCGCAAAGCGAGAACCCAGTCGTCATACCCGAGGAGCCCGAGGAACAGCTCGAGGTGCAGCCGCAGGAAGTGACCGAAGCAGACGAGGAGGACGTTGAGGAACTTCCGGAGTGCCCCGATCATCGTCCGAGCTCCTTCGATAAAGGCAAGCCCCGGAGCATTTTGCTCCCCGGCTTGCAATTATTAATTAAATGCTTTACTTTAATTGATGCATTACGTTCAGGAGTTGTTTGCAACCGTTGCTGCATTATACCTTGTCTACCTTTGTTATACTATATCCTTGTTACCCTGGTATCCGCAGTCGAGTCAATGCTTAGCTGGCTTAGACTGGTAGAAGTCGGGTGATTTCCTGTCACTTGCGAGCTATAGGTGGTTACCTGGATCTGCTTGGAGAACTATGTAGTCATGGTATAACTAAGTGTTAA